CCACCCCTCTTAACCATAGTCACAAAACACAAACCTATAGGCCCGCACCACCCCACTCCCCGTTCAGGCTTATCCCGAGTAGCCCCAGCCCACTCACGGCCGGCTCAACCAAGAAAGAAACAAGGCGATATTAAAGCGACAGAGAAAGAAACACGACGACAAAGGAAGAGGGAAAACTAGGCATTTTTTCTCTACTTCTCCATTCTCATCTTCAAGCTCCCAACTTTGAAGAAAACTGAATTCAACATCTAGAAAAATCTAGGTTTTCACACTCTGTCTCTGCAAATCCAGATTAGTGTTAGAGTTTCTTTGTTGATTTCTCTCCACTTATTTCCTCGGAATGACACTATTCTTTAGCGTTCCCCTTTTGAATCTTCGCCAATTGGTTTGAATTTGGTAATATCATCAATTTTTCGGGTGTTTGTATTTTTCTTATCGGGACCGTAGGGATGGCAATTCTCCCTGTTTCCGGTGGGGCTCTACGGGATCCCGTCATAGGGATGGGGCGAGGAGGAATATTATTCCTCGCGGGACAGGGATAGGGACCATTTTCTCCCCGTGAAATTTCACGAGAAATTTTCTCTGTTACGTGCCCGCAAAAAAAAAAAGTTTTTATTTTAAAATTAATTTATTCTTTAAACTCAAACTTAAATCCAAACTCAAATCTAAATCCAAATCCAAATCCAAATCCAAACCTAAATCCAAACCCAAATCCAATCTAATTACAATTAAACTTAACCCAATACTATCCAACCCAACCTAACCCATTCTCCTACATTTAACCCTAACCCTAATTTATTTCAATTATCATCACTCTCACTCACGTCTCACTCTCAATCTTTTGTCTGCAGCTCACCCATCTCTCACCTTCATCTCACCTTCTCAGTTTCCTCTCTTGTAGCTACCGTTGAATCCATCTCCACTGCTGTTTCCGGATCCATTTGCTTTGCTGCTGTTGCCGATCCATTTGCTGCTCAATTTTGCACCATAATTGCATTTGTGACGAATATTTTTTTTGTGACGAATAAAATTGTTATGAATAACTTGTTAATAATTTTAATTTTTTTTATCACTATAAAGTTATTTTCTATGACAGGTACTTAATTTGTCATTAAGAGTATTAGTGACAATGGTTTTATTAACGATTTAAATTTTATCACTAATAATAATTTGTAACGAAAAATAAAGATTTAATGATCAATAATTTAGTCACTAAATATGAATTTTTTGGTAGTGCGAAGACATCTGCTTTGCTACTGCTGCTGTTGCCGAAAACATCTGCTTTGCTACTGCTGCTGTTGCCGAAAACATCTGCTTTGCTACTGCTGTTGCTGCCGAAGACATCTACTTTGCTGCTGCTGGATGCATCTACTCTACTACTGCCAGTGCCAGATCCATCTGCTTGCTGCTACTGGATGCATCTGCTTTGCTACTGCATGCTAGGTCCATCTGCTCTGCTGCTAGCTCGCTGCAGGATCCATTTGCTCTGTTGCCGCTAGAGCGATTTGCTGCTGCTACGTAGCCATCTGCTGCCATTGCTATTGCTGTTGGAGCCGTGGAGAATGGGGACGAGGGGCAAAATCTGCCCCTCGTCAAAAATCCTCGCGGGGATTCCTGTCCTCGTGACTCGTGGGGATGGGGATGGGGAAGGGCTCCTCGGTCCCGCGGGACCCGTTGACATCCCTAATCGGGAGATAGAGAGAAGGTTTCGTTTTTGATGAATGAGATTTGGGAGAGAGCGGTGGAAACAACGTTGAACGAGCAGAAGGATTACGTTGCAACTCGGACCTTGACGTTAGACGGGGCGGTGAAGGCTGTGCCGGGGAGGCTTCCTCCACCGAGCCTTCTAGAGAAATTTGAGAACCTTCAGCATCTGTCAATAGCTAACAACTGAGTTCCTTCTCTGGAGCATTTTTCGCGTCTTCCGAATCTGCATAAACTCATCCTCTCCGATGATCAGATAGAATGTAACAAAAGACAAAGCATCCATCTCAGCCAAAAAAATCCAGGTCAGACGCAGAGTCGGGCATGATGAGTGGAACGTTAAGTTTTAACGGATTGATGATGTCATGTACACGGAGGTGCTGATTTGCCACCGAATGAGTTGAGGGATTCTTTTGCGCGTGAACAGACTTGAGGGGCTGATCTGCCACTGCACGGAGAGTTGAGGGGCTAATCTGCATGTTTTGCCTTTTCTTCTTCAGTATTGTGACCACGTTACAGGGGTGCGCAAACGGTCGGCTACCGAACGGCCGGCAGGAAAACCACTCCATAAAATTGAATTCTGGTTGACTTGTTTGATATTTGAGCCCCATCTAG